TTGTTTTTGTTGGTTTGTTTGTTTTCCTCCTTTCTGTTGGTCAGAGAGTGCTGACTTTGTGGGTCGGGGAGGGTAGCCAGGTTCTGAGCTTTCCTCCCTTCTAGTCCTCTTATGGCAACTTTGTTCTTCGTGCAGTTTGCCAGAATCACCCGGGTTTATCTTCCGCATCCCAGTTCTCGCAGGGACCTGCCATTTTTCCTCCCTATTAACTTTTTTTTAATGGGAGTTACTCGTAGCATTTCCCCTCTGCCATGTTTTACTTGCAGTATTTCCCCTCTACCATGTTGATCTCTCTCTGATGCATTCTTTGACATTGTGCAGGCAATGTACCAGTGGAATGAATGGTGAGTAGGGGGTGACTTTTCCTCCTGGTGGTAAGACTAGCGCATAACTATTGCCTTAAGAAAGCTGAGGAGGAGTCCTCTGCTAGAGCAAGTAAGGAGGGGAGTGTACAAACAGACCCATTGGGAAGGAATGTGTGACCTCATGGAAAGAAGGGTCCTGACACTAGCCCGCCCCTTCCCTGCTATCAGTATCAGCATTTATTTTCTTCTGTTTTCACAACGAACTTTGTGCTGAATGGTTCTCTAAAGGGCATTTTTTAATTTTAAATGCAGTGTTTCACAAAGAGGCCCCATGGGTTTCCAAACCTAACAGGAGGTCAGGCTCCTGCCATAGAAGCTTTGATCTTCAAATAGCTCCTCATTTCTTCATCTTCAGTTACCTTCAGTGTAATAATGTGTGTTCAAAAAGCTATAACCAATGACACTTAAAACCCACTGAGATGTCCCATGTCTAGCTTAAAGTAGCTCTCACCTTAGGAGATTCATACACTGCAGATTAAATATCACACCACAAAGTCTGTCGAGGTCCATGCCTCCTGATTATGAATAAGTATAGGATGGTCCTTCCCTTTGGATTTTGCCGTTTTGTCTTTAGGCCAGATGGTCTGAGGTATTTAGGGAATAAAACAGGTTACTGTGGCAGTAGATAAAATAATTTCATCTCTTACCCATAGACACTGTCCCTGTAAGAAGTGGCAATAGTCTGTGCAGGCCCGAGGCTGGAGATGGCCAAGAAAAGAGGTGATAGGGAGAGAGGAAGCCCTGAGGATGATCTTAGGGAGGTTAACTACTTCTGCTCTCTTTAAAAGACACATGTAGAGTTATTGTCTCTATTCTTCTGAACAGATAATTTAGGTACTTCAAAACTTTGTTCAGAATACGCATACAATGACTTCCCAGCAGAGCTAAACCTGGAATCGCCATAGTAATCTACAGGGAAATGTGTCTTAATCCTGGCACTTAGACATTCACCCTTTTGCCACCATCAGTGACCAGAAGATTCTTCCTCTTGTCACCTGGGGGTGACTTAGCCAGATGAAGGCAATAGCCACTGTTGATTAGAAACTTTCAATGGGGACAAAGTGAAGAAAACATATGTGACATGTAGTGTTTTCACCTAGAAAAACAACCTGCTGAAAGTCTTTGATCTTAAAATGCAACAGCGACTCAATTGGGAGCAGAAATTATATTAAGAAAATAAAGACTTTTTCTTAGGCAACAAAACATTCCTCAACATTCTGAAGCTAACCTGAAACTACACAGGCATCCCATGTCAGCTAGTAAATAAGAAAAGGGCTGTTGGACATCAGCTCGTCTTATACAAATACATTTGTCTGTGTGGGGCTGAAACAAACCACCAATTGGTTGGGAAAATCTGTAAAAACTGTTGAAAAGGGTATTGAAGTTATAGATCATACTTATTCTTGACTTGCTAGCAAAGATGGTACAGTGCACTAGCTTCCATTCATTTTATCACTAATAAATTCTTGGTGAAAGGCCTCGGAAATGTATTTCCTTTAATAAACCAAAAAAAGTATTCACATAAACTTTTGTTTGCTTTTAAATTTATTTTATGTTCCAGAAGTGATATGACCTTCACTTTAACAGCACAAATAGTGTAGGAAATGGATCATATTTCTTGTTCAGCAATCAGAAAAATTCATAATACTTTGCCTCCTCTTTGACTCTCGGGCTCCTAGCTTAGGCACGCGCTCACAAAAAATTTCCATCAGAGGAGATGAAAGATGCAGGTGCACTTTTACAGGGAACATTATCTGGTAGCCTGTTATTTGAATAACATTTTGAAAGACTGCATTAGAGAGACAATTAATATGGGGAGAAGATAGAAAATGAGGGAGAGAGCCCAGGTTTGTTCATGTATTTGTATGATTTCACCAGTTGCACATCTCAGAGAATAAAATGTCTTAAGAAGAAATAATTCAGTAAAAAGAGAAAAACAGAAAATAAAACATTGAAGTATTAGTAAATTCAGGAATCAAGTGTGTAATCTCTCTCCCTCTCCATCTCTCTCCATCCTATGAGAGAGAAGGAGAGAGAATGGCTGTCACCGCTACTGGTAACATCTCTTTAAAAATTGTGCGTACTTACTAAGAACGTCTTACATTCATTCAAATATCTGTTTCTTTAATAAACGACAAAAAAAAATTCTTTACATCTTCATCATGGCCTGCAGTTGATTCTTGGCTCAAGATTTCGTTGGCTTAAGGATTTTATTGATGAATGGTGCATTTTTCCTATTAACATTTCTTTTACTATTTCTATAGTAGTTTAACACCTGGATTATAGTTGTTTTTTGTTGTTGTTCTTATTCTTCTTGTTGTTTTGGAGAAAGAAAAAATAGAAATATATTAACTTTCTTTCCATTCAGGGTCTTTAATATCCTTATCTTGATGATTTTCTCATCATCTCAGTGGTGATAGTTATTATTTGGATGATTGGATAGTCACATGGGTTAACTCAACCTAAACCTTTGAGTGGATGAGAATCATTTTATTGGAACAACACAGCAACAGAGGAGGAAAAAAGTGGCATCATTCGGATTTCTTTAAGAAAACCCCTGGGTGTTGGACAAAGCTGTACAAAACATTGTCCATCACCTGCTTTCACTCCAAGCATAGGCACTCGCTCCTTGACTCTTTTTTGCTGTTGCTGATAAAGTTGTGTGTTTCCCTGAAGTAAGCCCGCCTCCATGTGTTTGTAGTGTCTGATAAACTGATTCTCCATAAATGCTTAGGGAACAGACTTTGAGTTTGAGGAACAATTTCCCTTTGGTTGTTTTGGTTGTGTCACATTATAGAATTCCTTTTCCTCCTCTGCCTTTCAAAAAAGTCGCTCTCCATAGAGAAATTGAATGGTTCCTGCATTTGGGATTTTGCTTCAGCACAGCCAGCTTGTGCTGAAGATCTGGAGGGCGTGGCTGGAGTCCCCAGTGAGTGATGACCTTTGTTACAGTGAAATGAGATGTGGGCTCTTTCTTATGAAATCCCCTAGAATGTCAGTTCACTTTATGGTTTTTCTACTTAGGAAAAGCTAAAAACCTTACAGTGAAACTTCAAATCTAAAAAACTGTTAAGATAATTAAGTGCCGTTTGAATTTTAATTCAAAATCAGTTTCTTTTAAATACCCCAAAATTGATGTCAATGCTGAGTTTTTTTAGAAAAGAGAGTAATCATGATTGATATGTCATAGTAGTGTACTTCTTTTTACACACTTTTTCAAATTGCCAGTCACTGCATGTTAACACACATACATACAACACACGTTTCTCAGTCCCTTACACATTGCAGCCACCTTCCCATCAGCGTGCGCACAAGCATGCAGCTCCCTGTGTGGTGCTGAGGGCTCACATGACCTTGCTGAGTTCCACGGTGATTGGCAGGTTTCTCCTGGACAGGTATCACTTCCTAACATGTGCATTTGAGTATCTGCCTTGAGTGTTTCTTCCTCAGCCCACGGGCAGAGACTGTTGTACACTTTCTTCATTGTTTTATGCTAAAAGCCTGGAAGAGTGTTTGCCACAATGCAAGTGCTTTAAAACAAATTGTGAAGTAAATGAATTGTTCACTTTTCACACTGGGAATGTAAAACAAGGACAAAGGCCTATTAGTACAGCTGTTAAAAAAGCAAGTGCACCCTCACCCCAGTCCCCTGTGCTCCTCCCTCCTTCCCTCTGCTCCCTGTCCTTCCTCCTTCCCTGCAGGATGTCTCTGATTTATAATTGTTTCTGTTTTGTTGTGTTTTGTACTGTTGTTATTTTTTTACACTGATGTCTTATTTGGTTCCCCTATATCCCTGCTATAAGTGAAACCATCCTATATTTTTCTTTTTCCTTCTGGCTTATTTCACTGAGCATAATTGGTGAAGGTAATTCTATGGGGATTACACCTGAAAGGGGGGGAGCAAATATTGTTTAAAAATGAACAATGATGTCAAAATTTAAAAAAAAAATTCTCACCAAAAAAAAAAAAAAAAAAAGGGCAGAAGTGTTGCCAACCACCCCTCTTCAACCCACCTCCTTCTTCTAACGGAGGGCATTCTTTGAATCTGTTCTCCCTACTGGGTTTGAAATGGCTAACAAAGGACGTGGTTTTAGTGGTTCCTCCTGGTGGGTGACGTCCTTGCCAATCCCTGACCTGCCTCTAGAGATGGTCTGGACAGGAAGAGTGTGTTTAGGGCATCATCCATATAGAGTTTGGAGAAATGAGACCCTTAGCAGTCAGATGCCCTTAGAGAAAATCTTGAACTTGAGAAGTCTCAAAACCTTTTCCTTTTCAAAGAAAGAATTTATGCTTTTCAATTATCTATGTAATAAGAGAGATTGAATTATTATTCTCTATTGTTAAAAAAATAAAAAGTAAAATAGTTTTAAACCTACAATTACCAGGAATGTCACTTCCTTTCTTTGCAGCATTAGGCAATACTTATTTTTATTATCTATATCTGTTTATCTATAAATAAAACATATATCCATTATCGTTTAAGTATCATTTAGGTATCAAATTTAACTGATAAAGAAAATCCAAACACATCAATTACTAGCAAGGAGATTGAATCAGCAATCAAACCCCTACCAAAAAACAAAAGTCCAGCACCTGATGGCTTCAGTGGTTAATTCTTTTTTTTTTTTTTTTCAGATTTAATGATTTATACAAGAACCATGGTACAGACCAGATGCACAGAAGGATGAGAGGATTTACCAGAGACAGAGTGGAGAGCAGAACAGGCAGACTACCAAAACACACTGCTGAGGGGAGCAGTGGGTGAGACAGGAGAGGTCTGCTTCACCATGTGGGATTCTCCCCATCAGGCCAGGATCGAACCGGCGCTGCTGACGACACGGATAGCTTCACAGTGTGGTGCTCAACTGCCCACACCACCAGGGAGTCCCCTTCAGTGGTTAATTCTTGAAATTTTAAAAAATTATTGATAGCAACTTCAGTTCATCCAAATATACCATTAAGAAATTGCATACAAAAGTCCCAGGATGGAGAATAAGTAATAATAAATCAAACCTTTACATAGCAATGCATATAGGAAGTACAATAAACATAACATCCCAGTGATAGTATATATAATATAGAAAATTCTTGAATTCCAGGAATAAACACTAATGATAAGAGGAAAAAAATAGAAAAAAAAAACCTGGAAAGTTTTACCTTACTCCCAATTTTTTTTCTTAAAGGTACATGGTTATTTTAATTTTCCTTCAAACGTGTGTGTGTGTATATGTGTGTATTCATTTACCAATCTTTTATAGTACAATCAGATTTTTCTAGGAGTTTTAATCTGATGATTGAAATTCTAGATAATCTTTCTCACAAAACTTATAATTCATTACCTACATTTCCAGTGTCTCTTATTTTTTTGTATGCATAAATAAAACTTTTTTTTTATTTTTATATTCCTCATACAATTGCAACCCCGATTTAGACCCCAATCCCTCCTTTCCCCGCCCCCACCCCAAAGTATATGTCTCTGGTTCATAGTTGTTTGTTGATTTTGATTTTTTTCTTTTTTATAGTTATTCATTTTCCTGGTCCCTTATTTAGGTTTTCTAGATTCCTGTTATGAGTGAGATCACCCGGTATTTTTCTTTTTCTTTCTGGCTTATTTCACTGAGCATGATCCCTTCCAGCTCCATCCATGTTGCTGCAAAATGCAAGTGTTTATCTTTTTTGAATGCTGAGTAATATTCCATGGTGTATATGTACCACATCTTCTTGATCCAATCATCTATTTTTGGGCATTTGGGTTGTTTCCAAAGCTTAGCTATTGTAAATTGTGCAGCTATAAACAAAGGGGTGCAGGTGCTCTTTGGATTTAATGTTTCTGTGTCCTTGGAGTAAATACCTAGGAGTGGGATTGCTGGATCATATGGAAGCTCTATCTTTAGTAGGTTGAGGAATCTCCACACAGCTCTCCATAGTGGTTGGACCAGTTTGCACTCCCACCAGCAGTGCAGGAGAGTTCCCTTCTCTCCTCATCCTCGCCAACATTTGTTGTTGCTAGTTTTTTTAATATGTGCCATTCTCACTGGTGTGAGATGGTATCTCATTGTAGTTTTGATTTGCATTTCCCTGATTGCAAGTGACGTTGAACATTTTTTCATATGCCTGGTTACACTCAATCAATTTTTATAGTTTAAAATAAAGATGACAACACTTCCTAATTTAGTAAAAATATTGTAATGTGGGACTAATTAATTTTTCTCAAGATATTTTAAAGAACTGCTTGGAATGAGATTTCCAAATCAAGGAAACATGCCTTTCTTTTCAGTTTATCAACTATCCTTAATAGAGCATTTTTACCAGACTGGGTTGGGGCAGTCAAGAATTCTATCATTGGCCTCTGATTTGTTAGTGGATATTCCAACAAATCTTCAAAAAATGGTTAAGAATACTGGAATAAAAACTAGGCCATGAATAGCCCCCAATACCATGACAAGAAACATAATCTTAAAACACGTCCTAAAGATGTATGTGTTTGCTACAGATAAAACAGACACTCCTATTATTGTTGGCAGTGCACTTTGTAACACTGCGTAACCTAGCAAAAACAATGCCTCAATTGCTTTTTGGTTTGCTGAGGGTTTAGAACTGGAAACAAATGCGTATGAAATATGTGCACAAAAATCAAAAGAAAACCCTATACAAATCACAAGATTCATCATGGATACGGAATCAAGGTTAACATGCCAGAATCCCATGAAACCTGTTATTCCTACAATCACAGACCCAACAGAAAAAGTGACCCACAAGAAGCACAATGGGTGGGGAATTAACAATAAAGAAACAATGAACATAGCTATGGGTGCAACAATGACACTTCCAACAGTGTTATCTAAGATTGCAGAATATTGATCAAAATAGATAAATGCTGGGTTATACACCATTAGGGGAATCTCACACCTTTTGGCAATACTTCCTAATTGGAATAACATGTTCTTCTTACTGTGCGAAGAAGAAACACCTGTGGTCTGCATGAAGGCCCGGGAAGAAGTAATCTCATGTGATGATGAAATATTAATATCATATGTAAAAGTTGGAATATGCACTAAAAAACCAGGAATGTTGTTTATAAAACTATCTCTGTCATTTACAGCTAAGTTGTTGGCTTCCATATACTGTATATATACTTGTAACCAAAACTCTGTTAGATTTTGAATGACATAGTCTCTGTTTTCAAAAGTGGTCAGACATTTCCCCAATGTTTGCCTAGTGTCTTTATGCCAGTAGTCAACTGCTTCAGTCATGATAACCATCACTATGGTACCATAATCTGAAAAATGCTCTTCATGGATGTTAAAATAGGGTGTGATATAGGAATCGTCACTTACCAAATGTTGAAGGTCTAAACCTTCCTGTACTTGGAAACAGCCATGTATACTGAATGCGATGTACAGAAGGTATAAAACCACTATCACAAACTTGGACTTAGTGTTTGTGAGAAAGGGGCCAAAATAATCTCTAAAGAACAAGTTCATTGGATGGATGCTCGATTCTTCATCAGTTCGAAGAGAAGTAAATGGGAGGCAGCAGCATCTTATCAGTGAGGAAGAATTTTGGTCCGGGTTTCCCTCTGACTTTTGCAGCCAGCGCAGACAGGCCAATTCTCTCCTACCATTTAGGGCCATAGAGGCGCCAAAACAGGTGATGTTACAAAAATAACAGAAGAGCAAGGTTGTTCCCGTGTAAATGCAAAAGTACTGCACGGACTTAAAGGAGGTCATCACCCCTGTAATGAAGGCCAGGACATTTGTGGGAGTGGTGATGGTGATGGACACCGCCACATGGGAGTAGACGTCAGACATTCGCTGTTGTACGCTGTCCATGATGTTGGTCTTCTGCCAAGCAGAAATCATGATAAACATGTCATCAATGCCAACACCTGTTAAAAAAATAAATCTTAATGTATATTCATATCCATGAAAGTGTAAATCACATAATTCAAAAGGTTTCCCCCTTTTTCTCTTTTGAATGAAGCAACGTTGTTTTACATCCTTGTTGAGTTTTTGACAGTCTAGGATTTCTCCCCTCAGGTGTGGCCACCTTCGCTCTCCCAGCACCAGCGCACCCGTGGTCCTCCACCAGAGTCCTTGTGCTCTCCTCCCTGTCCCTCTTGCCACCCTGCCCCGCCACCCCCCACCCCCCACCCCCCCACCCCCCCACCCCCCGCTTCCTGGCTATCTCAGCTCTAGGTCAGCTTTCAAGAGTTGCTTTGAAAGTTTGTCTTTGTCTGACCCTTTGTCTAGATTGCCTATATTCCACATCTAAGTGAAATGATCCTTTGTCCCTTAAAGTCTTATTCTTTGTCCCTTCAGGTTTTGTTTATCTTGCACAATCTGCGCTTAGGTAACACTTTCATCGGTTGTCTCTGTGTCCACAACAGAGCGCACTCTTCCCTCTGTAATAAGCTTGTGCTTCGCACGGATTCCTATTATTTCCACACAGCACAGTATACTCCTCCTCTCCATTTGTGGTGCCTCAGTGTTGAGATCAGGAAACCTGGTGGATGCGTGTTAGTTCAAGCAGGATTAGCAGTCTGTTCCTGATTCCACTAGATTACTTGAGAGACCATTTTCTCTCATAAGCCATTTCACAGAAATGCACAAACACTTTCAGCCAACATTCTGTTACTGAACCTATCTGAACACCAACAGCATCAGTCTATCATTGCAATATGACTTGCGAGGAGACACCGTGTCATTTACAAGCATGCACACACTAGTTTTCCTCCTCTTCTGTTTTTAATATCCAGATAATGTCATTCAAACTTCCCAAGCTGAATCTAGCAAGCTGGCCTTATCTTCTCCAGATACACAAAACTAGATTGCAATAGAGCAAAGCCCAAAACCCCTGAATGAAAAACAGACCTCCACAGCATATCTGAGGAGTAGCAGTCCCAAGGGAGAGAAAACATGAAGCAAACTCTGTGTAGTGAGATTGGGGCAGCACAACTCGTGGCGGGTGGGCACATGCTATGCAACAACCCCTACAGTTGGGCCTCCCTGGTGGCGCAAGGGGTTGAGACACAGCCTGTGAAGCAATCCTCAGAATCTGCAGCACGAGTTCGATCCCCTGGCTGGCCAGGGAGCAACCCACATGGCGAGCAGACCTCTCTTGACTCACCTGCTGCTCCCCTCAGCAGTGAATTTCAGTCAGTGTGCCTGTGTACTTCAGTCAGTGAGAATCCTCTCACCCCTCCATACCTCTGGCCTGTACCCCAGCTCTTGTATGCATAAATAAATAAATCTTAAAAAAAAAAAAAAAGAAACCCCTACAGTTGTGGGTTTAACACACAGCAATATCAGGGACTCCTGACACCTGGCAATGCACTGAATAAGGGAGTCAGCAAGCTGACAGCCAGGAACTGGAAAGCTTTGGGGTGGGGGTTCAGCATGAGCATTACTGGCTTGAGTGGAGGCTCACAGTATAGAACAGCTGGATCCTGACCTCTCAACAGGGAGAGCTGAGTCAGGTCACCTGCGTCTCCCCATAGGAAAGGCTACTACTCGAGACTGGGATATTCAGAGAAATCGCCACCCCAACCTGTGGCTAAAGCCAAAACAACAAAGGAATCCTGGTAAACCAGAGCTCAGTGCCTGCTAATGACAGGCACTCACACCCCAGGATAAGGCTTTGAGTGTCAAAAGAGAAGAGAACTCCCTGCCTGTGAGCCCATCTCAGCTGCAATCTGTGCCCAGTGCTCAAGCTCAAGCTCAAGCGCTCAAGAACAGCTTAGCGTGAGCATGAAGCCATAAAGGACATTAAGGCTGAGAAGTGGGCAAAGAAGTGGGGAGCACTTCCCAGCACCACCTCTGGTATCCACAGCACAGTAGGAAGCTTGAATTCCTGGCATTCATTGGGGTGATTCTTTGGTGCCCCACTGCCTTGGCACTCACTGTACCTTCTGCCCCTCATAAGGCGCAGCGGTTGAGCGCTGGGTTGCGAAGCTGCCCGTGGCCTCTGCAGTGCCAGTTCGATCCCCAGCTGCTCCCCGGCCACCAGAGGAGGATCCCACATGGCGCGCAGACCTCTCCTGCCGCCCGCTGCTCCCCTCAGCAGTGTAGTTCAGTCCTTCTGCCTGCTCTGCTCCCCGCTCTGGCTCTGGTGAATTCTCTCACCCTCCCGCGCTTCTGACTGTACCCAGTGCATGTATAAACAAACAAACAAATAAATAAAACATGCCTCTATAAAAAAAAAAAAAAAAGAACTGGAGAGCACTTCCCAGCACCACCTCTGGTATCCACAGCACAGTAGGAAGCTTGAATTCCTGGCA